TTAAGCTGCGCTTGAATAACAGATCCAATGCCGGCTTACAGGCGCGTACAAAAAAGGAGTCCACCAATTGGCCAGTCTGCAGTTAGCGAAAGGAAATTAGAAACTCATCAAAATAATAGAGATCCAACATACTTTATAGTTAACAGGATAGAACGGTTCATTCTCCACCGTCTCGTAAATAGCATTCAATATCAGCTCCTTGGGATTAGTTGTAAAATTGAGTATCCCCTCGTGATGGACGCAAATTTCGACCCAGTTCAAGCCGGGGCCACTGTCGTAGTGCCGGGTCTTGTAAAACCTGCGCGCATCTCTGTACTGCACCGCAATGGGCTGGTACTCGAGGCCACAGTTTATCAGACGATCGCGTGCTGAAAGGATCCATTGATTTTATATTTACTATGTTAATTAAAAAACATATTTATAATTTATAATTCTTACGCTTCCATTGACTTTCGTCCATTTTGGTTGATTGACAGCCAACGATAGCTTAAAATATCGGGTGTCCTAAGTAATCGACAAATCAATCAAGCTGTAAATTCTTGCCTGCACGTGGTACAAATGTGAAATAATCGCTGATATTTGTACCAATGTTACGTTGATATTTTTGGTTCTATCAACAATATCCAACATTCATATAGAAAAATACACATTTTGGTCATTTTTACGCTTATATATAGAATATTTTCTCTAATTTTATGCATTTGGTACACTTCCATGGTACAAGATAATTTTGTAAGGTGGCAACCACAATCGCGTGCTAGCTGAAATCACTGCTGAAATCAAGCGCGATGTAGGATCGATAAATCTAAGCTGCTGTTCAGCTTGAAAATAAAAAACTATGATTTAATTAATACTTATTGTATTGTTATTATTTAAATCTTATTGCCTACAACAGAGTCTTTCAGATTACATATGAAATTACTTCTTGGGCGACTTCTTCTTCGCCTTGCTCTCCTTTCTGCCCTGATAGAGGCCTGTATAGTAGCCAGACATGTACCAAGCCGTCAACATAGCGACAAAGTCCTGTTCCGGCTCACTATCCATGCCGCCAGTGGGCGAGAACATGGGCGGAACAAGTGGCATTGGTGGCATCACCAACCCAGGTCCACCCATTCGTCCACTCGATGAGCCCTTGCTTTTCGAGCTTGACTTCTTGGAAGCCTTGGCACGCTGCTCTGGATGCGCTTCCTCGGTCTCAGCGCGTTTAGAATAGAGTATTTGTTCGCGACGCGCCTTGTTGCCCCAACTGGGCAATAGATCAGCCAGGAGCACCTCCTGTTCGTTTTCATAGCCAACATAGCGTAGCACGCAGGTGCCCGCAATCTCATTGATGGATATCACGGTGCCCTCGTAGTCCAGTCCATCGGTATATGTGGCACGTGCAAAATCACCAACTTTGAAAACTAGCTCCTGCTCTTCGGCCTCTTCCTGCGGTTCCAAATCGACATCTGAAGTTGAAGCTGCTTCTTTTTTTTCGGGTCTATTTTCCTCACGCGTGTTGGTTGAGTCGGCAATGCGACGAGCGAGCGTTTCACGTGCCAAATTTATGGAGTCATCGTAGGCCTTTATTAATAGGCTATCCTCCCAAATAAGTTGTTCGTCAGACATTTGCAATTCAATTTTTGTGCGGAGATTCAATTGAATATGTGACAATTCGAAACGCGAAATGACATTAACCTAATCGATATATCGTGGTACATATCGATGATAACAGAGTTGCCATAGCATTAACATTGTTCTCTCTGTGAATAGCAACAGAGAAAGAGGCAGAGCAAAAGCGAAAATCATTCTCAGCTCACAGTTCTGTGTTTTGTTTCGAATATTAATTCCAAATAATAAAGAATAATGGCTGCAGTGGAAACGTTGTACAAAGAACTCTGTGCTGAATGGTCCAAGCGACCACCAAATACACAGCGATGCGGACAGCTGCTGGATCAGCTCAAAGTGGCGTTGGTCAAAATGCAATTTCTGCCCACAGACGGCAAAGATGCACAGAACTCGAAGAAGCAACTTTTGTTGGCACGCGCCGTGTTGGAAATCGCTGTGGAGCATAGTGTACTGACCAAGGATCTACTCGCCTTCGAACGGTACATGTCACAGTTGAAATGCTACTATTACGACTATGCCAAGATAATTGGCGAATCAGACAGCAAATACAAATTGTTGGGTCTCAATCTTCTCTATCTGTTGTCCGGCAATCGTGTTTCCGACTTCCATACCGAACTGGAGCTCCTGTCGGTTGACATAATACAGCACAATCAGTACATTCGTCCTATTCTGGCACTGGAACAATATATTATGGAAGGACGCTACAACAAGATCTTCCAGGCGAAATCCTCAATGCCTGCCGAGATCTACAATTATTTCATGGATTTATTGGTCGAGACGGTGCGGGATGAAATCGGCGCCTGCATTGAGATGTCCTACGAGAAGATTTCGGCTAAAGATGCTGCAAAACGACTCAATCTGCGTGTGCCGGATGAAATCAAAGCGTTCGGCGAGAAACGTCAATGGAAACTGGAAAGCAATGGAAATTACAGTTTTACCGATCGCAGCATTAAGCCCAAGGAGCTGCTGCCCTCGGTGGAGCTGGCCGAGCAGGTGCTTAGCTATGCCCGCGACTTGGAAATGATAGTTTAAGCTACCAGCAAATTTTGTAATAAAAATAAAAACCCTAAATAATACGTTTAATAAAAAATATGTTTATTTGACACAAAAGTATGACCATATATAACAATATTTGCCCATAAACAAATCGATGATTTCTAGAAAAATCATCGCTAGAATATATAAATTGAAAAATCGATAGCTCATTGCTGCCGCACATCACTAACTTGTGGGAACGAACGGGTGGAAAAAAATAGTCGCTCGCTCGCTGCGATTTATTGTTATTAAAATTTGTTAAATAAGTCAAAAAGAAAACAAAATCAATGGCCTGCAACGCTAGCAAGACGCATCTGTTGCGCTCAATTGCCGTAAGTTATATGCATTATGTGAGCTGTTGCACTTAACCAACAAATCTCGATTGATGCAAAAAAATTTTTGCGTTCCGTGTTACGTAAAACGAAAAGTTTGTAATTTTTGGTTGTTTATGTTAGAAACGCGGTTATGCGACCTGCCCACGCCTCGTCGGCGACACCTCGCCCATCGCCGTCAACGTGCTGGATAACAAGCTGGTGGTGGCCACAGCTGATGCCTCGGTGCCCGTTTCTCGTGTCTCCATCGTGCTGCGGTGAGTGCCACGCCTACCAAAAAGAGGCTGCCGTTGTTATGATTGATAATGTAATTCGCAGTGCCGGCTCACGTTATGAAGCGTACGACACACAGGGCGCTTCGCATTTGCTCCGTCTGGCTGGCACCTTGAGCACCGAGAGATCGACGGCCTTTGCCATTGCACGAAACATCCAACAGGTCGGCGGCAGCCTGACCGCTTGGGGCGATCGCGAATTCGTTGGCTACACCGTTGAGACGACCGCAGATAATGTGGAGACCGGTCTGCGTTATCTGCAGGATCTCCTGCAGCCTGCTTTCAAGCCCTGGGAACTTAAGGATAACGCCAAGACCTTGTACAATCAGTTGGATTCGGTGTCCAAAGAGGTATTTATATAAATACATCTTGTACATGGGATTCTATAGTATTCTTCAATAACTCTTCACTTGTAGGAGCGCGCCATTGAGCTGGCACACAAGGCCGCCTTCCGCACCGGTCTGGGCAACTCCATTTACATCCCACGTTTCCAGCTGGGCAATATCTCAAGCGAGAGCTTGCTCCACTTCGTTGGCAGCACCTTCAATCCCAGCACTGCTGCCGTCGTGGGCGTCGGTGTGGACAACAATCTGCTCTCTGGCTTTGCCCAGAATCTGATTTTCCCCAGCGGCGGCGGCTCCGTCAAGAGCAACAATAGCTACTACGGTGGAGATGCACGCAAAGACACAGCCGGAGATCGCGCTGTGGTCGCCGTTGTTGGCGAAGGTGGCGTTGCTAGCAACCAGAACGAGGCTTTGGCATTCGCCATTTTGAGGCAGGCTGTTGGCGGCGGTGCTGCCACCAAGCGTGGCAAGTCCGCCGGCGCCTTCGGCGAGGCCGTCAGCTGCGCAGGTGATGCACCCGTGTCATACCAAGCCATCAACAAATCCTATACAGATGCCGGAGTCTTTGGCTTTGTCGCTTCCGCCGGCAGCAAAGATATTGGCAAGGCAGTTGATTTCCTGGTGCGCGCCCTGAAATCTGGCTCTGTGTCCGATAAGGATGTGGCTCGTGGCAAGGCAGTGCTGAAGGCACGTGCCCTGTCCAACTACTCGTCCGACGGTGAATTGAGCAAGCAAATCGCTCGCCAGGCAGCCATCACCCGAACTGTGCTGGAAGCCGATGCTTTGGTGGCTGCCATCGATGCCGTCTCAGTGCAACAGGTGCAGGCGGCGGCCAAGAAGGTTGCGGGCTCCAAGCTCTCGGTCGGTGCCATCGGCAATCTAGCCAATGTGCCCTACGCTTCCGACTTGGCTTAAGTAGTTAATCTTGTAAACAAAAAACAAAAAAATAAAAACAAATGTAATTTAAATACCCTGCCTGGAGATATAACGAAATAAAACTGTTGTCATTCACGATATCGAAATTATAGAATGTTTTATGTGTGGTATATAATATATATATGTCCCATATCAGCTAGCCTAGCTAGACCAGATATTGGACTGCTATTTGGATTATTTCGTTCTTTCTTTTTTTTATCTATTTATTAAACAATTCTTCATAAAACAAAGTTTTTTATTTATAAACAAGGGTTTAAAACTGAAACTCGACATTTGCCGAATTCGAAAATGCCCTTGCGGCAGCTATAGAAATTTATGATATAGGGGTTGCAGTTAAGATTCAGATATTTGATAGATATCAGATATATGTTTTGTATATATGATAGATACTTGATATATACATAATGATATATCTGATAGATCAAGTATGAATTAGCTGATATATATTTGGAAAGATATATATTGAATACAAATATTATACATATTTTAATTTATTATATATATTTCAATACATTGTAGTAAAAGTTTATTACGAAATATTTTCGAAAATCGGGAAAATGCTATTTTCAACTGATGGTTTCTATATACAGCATATATAATATTAATATATATTTTATTTAATGTATTTTAGGCACTTGATGTAACTTTTTGGTGAGAGATTAAGTAAAATGTTCAAGTTAAAAAATATGTATAAAGAAAATAAAATCATTCTATAGATTTAAATATGATGTCGATAGAGATCGATTTAGATTATCGTTTTAGAACTTGACTGACTGGTGAAAATTACATTGCGACTCTAAATAACAGACAGACGAAGACTATATATACTTGAATGTTGTTACAGATCAGCCATATAGATAAATATATACATATCAGTATATACTTGATAGATTCAATAAGAGTTAAAGCTAAACCAAATTGACATAAATGTATAAATTTATAAATATATATACATATACATAGGAATAATATATATATAATGAATGCTGCATGGGCATTTTAACATTATTTAAAATATATATATAAAGTATACACATATGCATACATTCAACAAACATCTTAGCAAATGCTTTACAGGCATACACAATGGGTTATAGATATATCTTGCATATATACAAATATAAACACATATATATATATGTGCATATATACAGATATATCTAGCTCCTATTCGCAACATAGTTGTAACCTGTCGCTTAGACAAGCACCACAATAAGAATGGCCACAAAGAGCAGTACTATGACCAGCCAATAGCCCCAGGTGCTATCCTTTCTGGTCACCTGGCCAATGGTGCGCGTTTCACGCTGCACGCCCGCTTCCACGCGATCCATTGTGTTGGCCAGATTGTCAAGTATATTATGCTGATCGTCCACCTCTTCGTAGACCTGGGTGGCCAGCTGGCGCTGTCGCGAAAGGGTCGCCGACAGCGCCTCCAGTCCCCGATCCTGTTCCTCGAGTATCGTGGCCTGGGTTAATTTTAAGCTGACAATATCTGAGGGCGGAGCAGCAGCAGCGGCTGTTGTGCCCATTTGCTGCCAGACTGAGGTGGAGCTTGATGAGGGGTGTGCGCTGTTGATCGTGGCATCTATGCTACGTAAGTCTGAGTTGAGCTTGTCGAAGTTTATGCGACGCTGCTGCAACTCATGCTCTGAACAGGACTCCCAGGTTATGGCATTATCCAGAATGACCTTGAGATGTTTTACATCCTTGACCAGCTGCTCACGGCTCACATCAATGCTGTTCGTTAGCTTTGCATATTCCGGAGAGGCGATGGCGCCGCCCAGCTGCCTGCGCTTGTGCAGCAGACCAAGCAGCTGATGTCGCAGACGTTCGCACCCTTCAAACTCGATGTCCCTGCAAACGTTAGCGATAAACATATATGTATATAAATAAAGTACTTCTCACACATACCATGAGTCATGATCTACAAGCGACATATTTGTTTCAAATCTTTATCGCAGCCAGTTCAAGCATTTGTAAGCGTTCTCTTCAATTTTCGCCAATTGCGTTGTTTTCTTTCTTCTTCTATTTCTTCGTCTGGTATTGCAGTGGCTCGCAATCAGCTGTTTGGTTAACAGCGCTGCTGTTCTTTAACGTTCCGTATTTTTACACAGTTTTATAACATATATTTCAAAATATGTAAAAAACGCATTTTATGACAAAATAAATTATTTTTTTTTACATAAAATTTATTCATACAACTCAAGAATTTTAAATAAAACAATCAAAGCATTTAACAGTTGCATAACTGCTCTCAATGCAACAGCGATGGCAGTTTGGCTAGATTCCCGCTAACTAAATGGCCAGTTGTATTGCGAAATATTTATGTATTTTTTTTTTGGTTAAAAATGTCCTTGATGGCTTTAAACCTATAACTATTGAGTTAAGATTTTTTTTGTGCAATTTAATAAATATACAAATTAGTTATATGAAGCTAACTCTCTGCCAGAGCGAGGTACCAAAAGAGTAGCAACACAAAAGAGCATGCTAACAGAGAACACAACAGAATTTGCAAGCAACAGCTGTCAGCTGTTTACCCGCTTTTATTTAACAGAATAATTATGCAGGCGGGATTTTGATGCAATTATGTATGGTACCCACTACAGAAAAACGTGTAAAAGTACAATTTAAATATATTTAAATAACTTGTAATATATATACAAGATTTACACTATTTTTCTCTAAATATTATTGCACATACTGTAAACAGCATATCGTCTGCTAATCTCTCTAACAGCAAACACCACCATCTGTTACTGTTGACCACAATTTCCAACACTCACGCACACTGCTGTACAACCCAACACTAGCAACCAAATCATTATTTACGTTAAAAATAATTCCGTGCTGTGCCGTGTCGTGTGTGTGGCTGCGTATTCGATTCCTTGCCACAATTTTGAATTGAAAATCACCGTTACACTCAATTGAAATAAACCCGTTGGCCAGTTAAAGTAATTGGTAAAATTCAGATCAATTAAAATCAACCAAATAATTTGTTACGTCACATGAAAATTTCGGTGTAGAAAAGTATTTGCCTGTGTGCGTTGATAACTGTAACTTTTCTGTAGGCGACGCGCGGTGCACGAGCTGCAACTAAAAGACATACACACACAGATACTGGTGCATTGCCTGTGTGTATGGTATATGAAATATGAATGTTGAAGCACATTCAGGATAGTGTTAGGTGCTTTGTTATTATTGTTGTTGTTGGAGGACATACAGTAGTCGGTGCTTAGAATTTCATTTGGGTGTGGGATACTTTTGTTATTTTTAAGGAAGTCTCATATTCACTTGTAATTGTGATTCGTAGGAAGTAAGATCTCTAGTAGTATAAAAATAAAAATAAAATAGTGTAATTTCAACTTCAAATCGGAACGCAACATAAGACAAAACAACAACAACAACATACTCGAAAACCACCAATTAACATCGTCATTAACAGCAGCAGCAACAACTACTAATACTACTACTATTACAAAAACAACTACAAAAGTTAACCGTTAACCGTCGCGGATCCGTCAACCTTCAAAATTGTTTTCTTCTTACGCATTGTGTAATAAAAGAAGTAAAAACCCAAAAGAAAAGGAAGAACTACGTACCTAGCTAACGTATCTAAAACGCGTCCTCCTTCTGGCATTGTGTTTGTGTGCGTGCGAATGCAACGACAACAAGAATCTCTCTTCAAGCAACAAGACGTAACGTAGAGCTGCGTATAACGGTAAGTGTGGGTTAAGCGAGGGGAAAAGCTACATTCATTTTGCTTTTTTATTATTCTATTTTTTTTTTTTTTTTTTTTTTGGGAATAAATGCAATTGGTTGTTTAGCGAAAATTCTATGCATGCAACTCGTTTTTCCAGCACGCACCTCGTATGTCTGCTTCAGCGTATGTATGTGTGTGTGTGCATACAGCGGAAAACGTGTATTTGTATGAAAAACCAGAAAATCGAAACCGGGAATTGGGTCAGTATGTCAAACGCGAGAAAGGGGAGAGAGGGAGAGTGGGAAAGGTTCTTTGCCTTGGCTCTAAAACTCTGCTGGCTAAAACGGGTATTAGTCAACACTTGGCGTTATACCATCCAACAGTATCCGACTCTGCATCTGTGTGTGCGTGTGTGTCTGTGTGTTGCTGTCTGATTGTCATTCGCGCGTGGTTTTTCTTATGCTTGACATTTGGTTGCGCTCACTCGCGCTCGCTCTGCTTTGCTCTCTTCTCTTTCGTTAACTCGCTCGTTTTTTCGGCCAGTCGGCTCAGTTGATCTTGCATTGCTGCGGCGCGTCGACGTCGACTGAAGCTGCGACTCATTTACCTTGAGCGCGCCTGCACTTGTCACGTCTCTCTCGCTCTCACTCACTCACTCAGTCACTCTCGCTCGCTTGCTTGCTTGGTCGCTCTGTGCGCTACGTTTTCTTATTGGATTTCGTGAACTTCTAAACTGGTGGCAGCACCTTTCGAAACACTTAACTGGCCAGTTAGGCGCCCGGAGTCCGCTTTTCATGTTTGCTAATAAAATTATTACAATTTATCCGACTGTTGCTAATGCGTTTTAAGGTCGGCACTGCCTAGACTCTGCTGCTGTTTGGCTGCTGACCCATTAAAACGTCTTTCACATGATACGCGCCGCTTACATTTCGCGGTCCATTTAACAGTGCTCGTCGCTAGAGAGGGATAGTGAACGACAAAGAGGGGCGAGGGAACGCGAGGCGTGGCCCGGTTGGGATTTCGTCTAGGTTAGGCTCGTCGCTGATTTGTGATTTATTCTTTCGAGCTGTTTTTTTTACATTTACTTGTCGACTAAGCAAATTTACAAATTAAAGACTAGTCGACTATGATATGCTCTATACAGTAAAATATTTTCTTGTAATTCAATGCAGTTTAAGTAATTAACTATATGCATAAATACACATATATTTATTTTTAATTTACCTTTAATGGTTTTTTATTTGCTTCCATTTTATTAATTATCTTAATTAAACACATTTCACTTATTCCCACTGTTACACATACACACGCACACTCACTTGTGCATATATACACGATACCCTTCTTACCCAATAATAAACAGCCAGGAAGAGTGAACAGGCTAGTGCCCGAAGACAGGCTGACAGAAAAGGGAGCTAGAGCAAGGGAGAGAGGCATATAACAACATACACACACACACGCACGCAGGACAACGTTTGCTCTATTTAAGGTTGCTGGTTTACTAGTTCAACTAGGAACTGTTTCCTGTGTGTGTTTCGCCCACGCACATGGCAAAGCTCGCTCTCTCGAATACTCTTCGGAGTCAGTCGGGCTGTGCGAAGAGAGCAAAAGAGAGCGTCGGTGCTGCCACTTTGGGGTTGGCTGATTTTTGCACTTAAGAGCGAAAAGTGGCTTTGATTTTTTTGTGATTACAAATGTTGGGAGTGAGAGCGGGATATGTGCGGCCAACATATTTGCATGTTGCTCTCCTGCTCTTGCAAGAAAGCATGTGGGATACAAGCAAAATGTTAACCTATATAATTTTTGTTGTTGCCAATGAAAGAGCGCCCCAGTCCACCCACCCCCACGCAAACAGCGATGTCTACGCTCTGTCAGTTGAAGGTTCTTTTTATAATTTAAAAACTGTTTTTTTAAGGCTACGACGACGACGACGACGGCGACGAACAGCAGCAGCAGCAGGAAGCTTTTGTTGCGCGCGCTGTCGTTGCTGCTTCTGCTGCTGCTGCTGTTGACGCTGCTTTTGAATTTAATGTTAAGTATACGCATCAGTGAACTCAATTTAATTATCATGATTGTTTTTCTCGCTGTGTATATGCTGAAACATTCAAATTTTCCAACTTCACACACACGCTCACACACACATACCCCCATACGTCCATACCTCCATTCAGTTAGCTGCCGTTCCCAAGCAGATTTTCAGCGCTTATGTAATCGGCAGCTTTACAGAAAAAAAAGTAAAACAAAATATAAACTACGTAAAGTTGATAAAAGCGCTGGCCATAATTACGTGCATACGTTTGTGTGAGCACGCCCTTCGCCCAGTTTTTATCAGCGCCGTTATTTATGCGCCTCCGCCATGACAGATAGAACGACAGCAGCAGCAGCAGCAACAGCAGCAACAATAAGCATTTGAAGTGCAGCGTAGCGCAAAGAGAAAATAAAACTGGCATTTGTTGTTGTTATTGTAGAAGCCAAAAGCCCAAACGAAAAGCAATTAAGTCGCCATGGCTCATTGCACAATAAGCAAAGAATCAAAAATACAAAAAAGAAAAACAAAAAAAAACCAACTAAATAATAAAAAAGCGAACGCACGCAGCAGCAGCACCGTCAAACATAACTGTTTGCTTGGCCAGCCATAGCGCGCACGTACGTCAACGTCGCAGCCAGCGTCAACAACAACTCTAATCGTATGAGACTAAAGAGAGAGTGAGCGAAAGAGTGTGGGCGCGAGTGGAAGCGACTAGAGAACGTTTGTTGTTGCTGCTGCTGCTTAATAAATAGGCCAAATATGTAATATCGCTAAAATGTGTTTATTGTAATCTTTTTCACACACAAGCACAGTCACACTAACACGCACATGCATGCTCTCGCACGTGCATTGCATCCCTCGTTACGTTAAGTTAAAAGAATAAAATAAAATAAGAAGAAAAGAGCGCCAAAAGGAAAGGGAGCGCAAGAGCACAAAAACGAACAGCAACGAACATAACAGCCAATCCAGCCGAATGCCAGCCGAACGTAAAACGAACAACGCTGCTGGCGTCGCAGTCACTGTCGCTGCTGGCGCTGCCGCTGCTTTGTGGGGGCCCAGTTGGTCGATTGCTTTGCTGCGCTCGTGTGTTGGCTGAGTCGTTGTTCTACCGTCGTGATTGCAACACTTCTGCTTCTGCCACACACACTATCGCCGTCGTCATTTAGCCGTCGCCAAGTCTCGCAGTCGCAACGTTTTTCACGTTCTTTTGATTTCCAACTACAAAATCAACTACTACTACGCGTACGTCAACGTCGCAGTCGCAGTCGCCGCGTCAGTCGCAGCCGCCAGCAGCAGTAGCAGCTCGTATGTTAGACGACATTTTAGCGTGCATGCTTCTGTGTGCGTGTGTGTGTGTGAATGTGAATGTGTGTGAATGTGAATGTGTGTGTGTGTTTGTGCCAGTTTTCGTGCGTTCTGTGCTGCAACAACAGCAACAAAAATAACAACAACAACAGTTACCACACAAGCGTCGTGTTTAAAAATATAAACTGCGTTTTTTCGCCAAAAAAGCCATAAAAAATAATTTTTTTTTAAAGCATTAGCCACAGACCCCAGGCACAGGCCAGACGAAAAGTCAACGACAGCAGCAACAACAACAATAGCAGCAATAAGAACAAGCGTACTAAATAAAAATAAAAAAATTACTATTTCGGCCCAGGCGAGCGACAAAAACAGAAATCAGCGGCCAGATCTAAAACATACATATGTACATAATACACACATACACACACACACACACAGCTAGAAACTAGTGTGTGAACCTACTTGATTTTGGTTCTCTAGCTGCTGCTGCTGTTGTTGTTGTTGTTGCTGCTGCTGTTGTTTCTGTTGCTGTTGTTGTGGCAGTTGCGGCTGTTAGCGATTTTTCAGCAGAATAAAATAAAATTACGGCACTACACAAACAACAACAACAATAACTGGCAGTAGTAGTAGCTAGCGGTGGCCAGTGGCGTGGCCAACAGGAGCGAATTTTAATGCGTGACACACAAAATTCCGTGTCGCTGTTCTCGTTGTTGTTGTTGTTGTTTTTGTTTTCAATTTGCTGTTGTTGTCGCACAGAATTGAAACAATTTTTGTGTATACCCAGCGAGCAGGAGCTCTTCTCCTAAGGGCCACCCCCACCCCCCACTTCCCGCCTGCTCCCGCACCCTGCTTTGGACACTGCAAATAGTCATCGACGGTTCGCTCTCTTCTTACTCTCTTCTCTGCTTACTCCCTCTCTCTCTCTCCCTCGCTCTCGCTCTGTCCCCCACTCTATGTTATCCTCCTCTCTCTCTCTGCCCTCTCATCACGTACGGGCTGCCTTGTCCCTTGTGTATGCCATTTGCACACGTTGCGTATACGTAACGTAGTTGTAGCCCGTAAACACACATAAACACAGTTACAGTGCAGGCTCGACGATTAGGGCTCTCGCATCCTTCGGGACCATTTATTATTTGCTGGAATTTAAAATCTATTCAAGGTCGCGCATTGCTTGCGCACTGAATAACAAATTTGGTTTGATAACGTTTTTGATTTCCACATAAATTTCCCACTGTTTTTTGTCAGTTTAATGAAAAAAAAAGTTGTGCCATTTTAATGGATAACATTTCCTTAGCTTTGAACTTTCCTTTGTGAATTTATCACTGCTTCTGTCATTGCTCGTGACAAATCTGTAATCTTTAATCTCTCATCGGCATTTGCTTGAAAGCGACTTTACTGTGCGCTAGACACACACACACACACACACACACACAACCTGGTATACATTAGAGCCCTTACGCTTGAAGAGCAGCGTCCTTTACGCTCGACTCTACCTTTGCCTCTTGCAGCTGTGCCCCTCTTCACACAGTCTCTGACCCTCTCTCTCTCTCTCTCTCTCGCACTCTCTCACTCGCTCACTCACTCTCTTTATATGGCGACAGCTCGCATGCAGCGCGCATAGAAATTGAGTTTATTTTCATGTTGGCATTTTGACTGCCCTTTGATGAGTTGATAAACGAGCGAG